CTATGAGGGGTCTATCTCTAAAGGGTATATGAGGGTTTTATCTCTAATGCATCCGACAGAGGGTGCACATGAGGTCAGCGGGGGGGGCGGGCAGCTCTCTACGGGTTAGGGTTAGGGTTAACCCAGCTCTATACGGGTTAGGGTGGAGGGAGAGTGAGAACACAGAAAACAGGGAGGGCTCAGTACCTGGAGGCACAGGTGGGGTTAGGGTTAGGGTTAGGGTTAGGGTTAACCCAGCTCTATACGGGGTTAGGGTGGAGGGAGAGTGAGAACACAGAAAACAGGGAGGGCTCAGTACCTGGAGGCAGGGGTGGGGGCGGGGGAGGTAGGAGCGAGTTAGTCCTGCTTTGGGGGGGGTTTGGAGGGCCGCTATCTTTCATACCGAACAGCTTGGACTCTTTGGAGAGGGAGGACCCCCGCGAGGCGTTCGGGGACTCCGTCTTCAGGGTCTTGGAGTTGTAGTGCAGCTGGAGAGAGAGTGGGAGAGTTAGGTTAGGGTTAGGTTAGGGTTAGGGTTAGGGTTAGGTTAGGTTAGGGTTAGGTTAGGGGCCCCCCCCCCCCCCCCCCGGCGGCGGCAGACCTTGACGTCCACTCCTGGAATGTAGAAGACGGTGGTCTCCAGGTCGTTGGGCTTGCTCTGCAGGGCGGCCGGGCCCTTCTTCCCGGCCAGCAGGTGCGTGGTGGAGCTGTAGGCCGGCTGCAGCTTCTTCTTCTTGGGGGGCGACTCCTGGTCCAGGCTGCGCACGCTGCGCTCACAGCTCCTGCCGAGAACCGGGTTAGGGTTAGGGCTAGGGTTAGGGCGAGGCCCACCTCCTGAAGAACACGTCCTCGTGCTCGGCCTGGGGCTAGGGTTAGGTTAGGCCCACCTCCTGAAGGACACGTCCTCGTGCTCGGCCTGGGGCGTGGTCGGGTGCAGGACACACTTCCCGCTGTCGATCTCGACGCGCACGTCCAGCTCGAAGTCGATGTTCCTCTCGGCGGGGGCGCCGCCGCGGCCCGGGTTAGGGTTAGGGCTAGGCCAGCGCTCGCCGAACAGCTGACTCACCGCCGAGAAGCCCGACGCCTTCCTGTGGCCCGCCGGACTAGGGGGGGGGGACAAAAGAGACTAGATAAAGAGCTGGTCCTGCGAAATAGCTGTGAGAATGCCAACAGCTGAATGAAGAGAGCAAAAGAGTTTAAAGCAAAAAGGCTGAAGACAGCACTGAGGAAGCAGAAGAAGCCAAAGAAAAGCTGAAAAACTCATAGAGTCTAATTGGATAAAGGCTGAAGTTAGGAATAATAACCCATAGGAAAACTGAGGAAAAGCTAAAATTTCAATGTTTTTAAAACTGCCATACTTCAAAAACGGCTGAATATTTTTAAGAGAAAAGTAATAGATGGGAGAACATTGAAACTCTATACAGAAAGGTCCTGGTTCCCCCGGGATTCGAACCCAGAACCCTCTTGCTGGGAGGCGACAGTGCTAACCAGCACACCACCGTTCCGTATATTTGAGGGGACAGCTCAGGGCTCAGAGCACATTAGTCGTTAGTCGTCATAGAAACGGCCGCACCTGGCTTCACTTACACATGCAGGCTCT